CTATTAACATCAACAAAAACCTCACAATTGTAATGATTTATGGCTAAATTTCTGTGAGTATCATCAGACAATCCATACAGATCATGCAAATGATTGATAGAAATAAGTTATGAAATAAAAATAAAATAAACAAATATGCGTCCTAAGTAATACTAGCAATGACCTATGATGAAGTCCTTAAAAAAAAATGATAATGTAATTGCAAAGATACTAACCATAGAATTACGATATCTCAATATACTTATGTTGAATTATGTAACATGAGTATCCCAAACCAATATATGTGTACAAAATAGTAGTAACCAAAAAGTCCAAAAATAAATCATGTAAACTTGCATAAATTGAAACGAGAATGTATTAGGTGGCAGGTTGGAGCTCAGCACATCATATTTTCTCAGTTGAAACATGCTAAATATTTGAGTTCACAACTTTAAAATTGATTATGCCATTCATTTTGATATTCACCACTTGATAGATAATCAAAATGATTTTATATCTCAGGAAACAAACAAACAAACAACAACAAGAAGCTTTAAGTGAGGTCGGCTACACAATTCCTTTTTCTCCATTACGCCCTATTGGGTGTCATGTTTTCATTTAGTTTGAATTGATTAAAATTCTTTTCTATACAATATGTCCAAGCCTTTTTAGATCTACCTCTGTCTTTCTTAACATAAGTTGAATCTAAAACATCTACTCTCCTAACAAGATCATCAAACGGTCGGCATTTAATGTGACCAAGCCATCTAAGAGGACTCTCTAATCTTGACCATCTTTGGAGCTACACCAACCCTATCATGACTATATTCATTTTGTATTTTGTCATATTTTCATTTAATTATAATAGATTAAGATCATTTTTTCTCCATTGTGCCCTGTTGAGTGTCATATTTTCATTTAATTCTAATAAAATAAGATCAATTTGTATACAATATGCCCAAGTCTTTTTAGGTCTAACTCTGTCTTTCTTAACATAAGTCGAATCTAAAACATTTAGTCTCTTAACAGGATCATCAGATGGTCGGCTTTTAATGTGATAAAGCCATCTAATACGACTCTCTCTAATATTGTCTACCACTAGAGCGAAAACAACCCTATCACAGGTATATTGATTTTGTATTGTCTTTAACTGTCAAGCCACTCATCCACCTAAGCATTCTCATCTCAACAACACTTAACTTTGGCTTATGCTTCTCTTTTAAAGGCCAACATTCTGCACCATAGAGCATTGCAGGTCTCACCGCCATGTTATAGAATTTTCCTTCCAGTCTAAGCGGTATTTTTCTATCACACAATAGGCCCGATGCATTCCTTCACCTGAACCAACCAACTTGAATTCCACTAACAACATCCCCATCTATAATACCATCACTTTGAACAATAGACCTGAGTTATCTAAAATGTCTGCACCTTCTAATGATTTGATCACTCATAGTTATAACTCTGCCACTAGAGCTACTACTATTTGAATGACATTTCATGTATTCAGTTTTAGATCTACTCAAACGAAGGCCTTTAAACTCTAATGTAGACCTCCATAATTCAAGTTTTTCCCGAACTCTTTCTCTACACTACTCTTTCTAGTTTTTCCCGAACTCTTTCTCTACACTTCCACAATAAGGATATCATCAGCTAAAAGCATACACCAAGCTACATTCTCCTATAAATGCCTAGTAAGAGCATTCATAACTCAAGCAAAAGAATATGGGCTTAAAGTCAATCCCTGATGTAATCCAACTAAAAAAGGAAAATATTTGGTCAATCATCCTTCTGTTCAAACACAAGTAACAGCTCTAGTATACATATCTTTGGCAACTTGAATATAATTCATATCAACGCTTTTTTTCTCTAGAACTCTCCAAAGGACTTCTCTTAGAACATTATCGTAAGCTTTTTCTAAATCAATAAAAATCATATGCAGATAATCCTTGTTCTCTCCGTACTTCTCCATCAAATTTCTCAATAAATGTAGAGCCTCCATAGTAGACTTGCCCGACATAAATCCAAACTGATTATGAGAATTCTTTGTATCACATCATAACCTATGCTCAATTACCCTCTTCCATAATTTTAAAGTACGACACATCAACTTAATTCCTCTATAATTTGCACACTCTTGTGCATCCCTTTATTCTTAAAAATGGAAACCAAAATACTCTTCCTCATCTCCTCAGACTTTTTTTTAGTTTTTTTAAATAAAATTAAAGAGTTCAGTAAGCCAAGAAATTCCCAAATCTCTTAAATATATCCAAACTTCAATTGGGATATCATCAGATCCTACTGATTTTCCACCCTTGGTTTTCTTTAAAGTCTTTTTAACTTCTTTTTTACTAATGTGATGATAAAAATAAATATTTTATTATCATTAACGATATTAAGATCATTAAGGCCGATCGTATTTTTAGAAACTTCATTGAAAAGTTTATCAAAAGTATTCACCCGCCTATATTGAATGTATTCCTTTAAGAAAAGCAATTTTTTTTTATTTTCATCTTTAATTAACTTTACTTGAATTACATTTTTTACTTTTCTTTTCACTATGTTTGGCAAGTTTATACATATTTTTTCACTCACTTCAATATCTAATCCACTATAAAAATCACTAAAAGTAAAATTTTTAGCGTCGCAAATTATTCGCTTAAACTTCCTACGAACAACCTTATATTTTTCTCAGTTCTTCAAATATTTACATTTAAAATAATTTTTATAACACTTCTTCTTATATTTCTTCTTTTCTTGCACATTATTGTTCCTTCACCGACTATTTTTATTTATAAAAGTTTTTCCTTTCGATTTTCCAAGTACATACTTTCGTTACTTGTTTAATAGGTGCATGTTACTTTATCCCTCATAGAATTCGTTTTTTCAAAAACATCCCAAAGCTTGAAACCTTGAAATTAACTCATAAAAATAATTTTATTTATCTTTTAGGTGTACTCATCTAATTCTATGACAATGTATTCTTGTATTATTTATCTTACAACTCTTCATCTTAAAATCAATAACTAATAATCGATTTTGAGTACTTAAATTTTCACTTGGAATGGCCTTACAATCATTACACTCTCGACGATCTCTTTTCTCATAAGAAAATAATTGATTTATATTTTATTAGATACATTCTCGTAAGTCATAATATACTCATCTTTATTCTTAAATAAAGTATTATCAATAATAAAATTATAACCTAAAGCAAAATCAAAAAAAGTTTTTTCCTTCTTCATTAATCACTCCAAAACTGCAGCCACAATGAATATTTCTAAAATCTTCCACCACTCTACTAACATGTTCATTTATATCTCTTCCTATAAATAATCTTCCTTCAAGATGTATCATTTGTATTAATTCTTCTTTGTCATTCCAGAATTTTTCTTTTGAACTTATATCTAAACCTGCTCGAGTAGCATAAGCACTTACAACATTAAAAGTATTAGTATGAACAACAATCTTTAAGGCTATAATTCTATCTCCAATTATATTAAATTTTACAACATTATCTTTTAAACACTTATCTATAATTATACGTACACCATTTCTAAAGCGACTCCTACCTGAATACCAAATTTTAGAACTTAAGCTATCAATCTCCTTAGTCTTTTCTCCAACCGATTTAGTTTCTTGAATACATAAGATATCTCTTGAAACAAACACTTCAACAAAATATTTGAGATGTCAAATCATAAGCTTTAATATAAATTTAATAAAGGACAACTGAGGATTAGGGATTCTAATGCAAATAATATGATAAATAGTATGTTTTCATCCAAGAAAAACTTGGAGACTCACATATCAATCCAAAGGTTCATTTTCTTTAAATTAAAACAAACAACAGTAGACCTTACACCCAAATAAAACGAAATTATCATAATTTCCAAAATTTTCATCAAGAATTTAAAAACGAATAAAATCAGTGAGCAGCAACAACAACAAAAATAACAAGTTTTAATGCCACTAAGTGGGGTCGACTGCATGAATTCTTTTTCTCCATTTTGTCCTATTAAGTGTCATGTTTTGATTTAATTCTAATAGAATAAAATCATTTTTTGTACAATATGTCGCCGAATATTTTTAGGTCTGTCTCTGTCTTTCTTAACATAAGTCAAATCTAAAACATCTACTCTTCTAACCAGATCAACAAATGGTCGACGTTTAATCTGGCCAAACCATCTAAGACAACTCTCTCTAAAATATGAGCAAATGAATTAATTTTTATAAAATCAATCTTCTATCAAATCCATTTTTAACCAAAATCAACCAGCACTAAACTGGCCAAAGATAAATTATCTAGAAGAAATAGAAAAAGAACAAAATAAACAAAGTACAGAACTCCCGTATAAGAAAATGACCTCCAACATGCACTCATAAAATGTATTGCACTCAAAAAAATCACATCCAATATGCACTCACGAGTTTGAAAAGATGAAGAGAAATTTTATTCAAATCAAAATTTGTGAATTACTTGCCTCATACCACTACTTAAAGATTCTGCATAGCCTAAGTTAAAAGAAAAAGTGGGCACATAATCAGTTTCAATTGAAACTTAAATTAGTTTCAAAAGACAAAAGGAATTCTTAGCCTAATTATGAATTCCAGAAGCAATATACAATAAGTGAAATTTTGATATTCCTAATTTTTCTAGTTCCAAGAACCCAACAGGCCACAAAAAATGAACAATATGCTGACATAAAATATTGACTACAAAAAAATGGACCAAAAAAAGTCACAAATTATGGCATAGAATATTGAGTATAACATTGTAAATTACATATCAAGATTATTATTGGCGTATTCACACTATTGGCATTTCAATATCATCTCAAATAGGAATCAAATGAGAAGTAATAAAACCAATATAATTAGGAAAGTGTCAAATCAAGGACATCAAATTATTGTCTAACATGATAATTTGAAAATAAATTAGCCAATTGTTATATTTTAAGTTACCGAATATTGTCTCCAAAATAAAAAAAAAGTAAAAAATGCAAAGAGAAAAACGTTACCTTGGCAGCCCTCTTCATATTGCAACCACGAAGGTAACCATATAATATGATATTTCTATCACATTTTTTATTTGAATGTAATCGCTCAGAAGGTGTTACATCTTCAAAACGATCTACAAGAAGATAAGGATGTACAGCTCTCCATGACAAAGGATGATGTTTCATAACAGAGATAAATCTAGCCAGGTTGTGAATTTCACGTTTTGGATATCTATCACATGGCAAATCAAAAAAAGTAATCATACATTAGCCGTCATTCAAAATCTATCAAGACAATTAAAATAGAAAATAAAGCCAAAAAACACTAGCCAAGAAAATACTAAGGCCTTCTTTGGGATCAATTTTGTTTTTGGCCTTTTTTTTTTTTTTTTTTTTTATTATTATTTTTAAAAACATGTTTGTTTAGTGAGTTTTTTATATATTTTTATTTTGGGGTATCAACATACATAGCACACAATTCTTATGTATTTACTTATCTCAAACCTAAACTTCCATATTTATACACATAACACTTAAATCTTTAATATCACATCAAACATAGCATTGTTGTCATTTTTTTTAAGTGAAATACACCATTTTATGCATAAGTTTAAAGCAAAAAAGTGTTGTGTATGTAAATATGAAAATTTAGGTGTGAGATATGTAAATGCAAAAGAATTGGGCGCTTCATATGTAAATTTTCCTTTTGTTTTTGTTTCTAAAAATAAATTAATATAATTTTGAAAACACCCAGAAATAACTTTTTTGGTATTTTGAGTGTTTCCAAAAACAACCAAACTTTAATCAAATAGCCAGACATATTTTGTTTCAAATCAAAATAAAACTAAAATAAAAACTAAAAAATAAAAGTAATCACAAACAGCCCCTAAATGTACCAAATATTTGCGGCTATCAATTTAACGCATTAAGAATCAAGGATATAAATTTAACAGCTGCATGAAATAATTTTATCACCGAACAAAGACAACTTACTTCCCGTGAATGAGACCTGACAAATAGAACAACTTTGCACCTTCCTTAATCTCAGTCCAGAAGCGATGCTTAAGACGCTGCTTTGTTTTTCTCAATTTTTTAACATCTTCAAATTTATCAAGATGTGTGAGCACACCCATGACCTTAGGGAATCCATGGACTTGCAAAATGTTAAGAAACTCAAAAGTTTCCTGCCAAAAAAAATAAAAAAAGCACACGGGATTTAGTTGAATGCAAGGATAACAACAAGGAAGTTTGATAGGAAGAATTACATATATACCACTCAATTCATACGTATTTATATATCAAACAGCTAAACATTAATTTTTACATAAATGTCACCTTACCTATGCATGAAAAGGTGTATTTCACCTTTTAAATAGTAGTATTTTTTATGTAATATAAAAGATTAGGGTGGCATAAAAGTAAAAAATCAGAGATAAAGTTCTAGATATGTAAATACATAGAAATTGGGTGGCATGCATGTAAATGCCCCTACTTAATATCAGTGAGAAAGATTGACCATTTTTAAACGGGCCTAAGCGTCAAGGTTGTTCCATTCTATGCTCAACTTATAGTTCCCACAGAATCAACTCGGTACATGTTTTGAAAGGTTTGAGGGATGCATGAAGAATAAGAACCAAAATAAGGAACTTGATCAAAAGTAGTATCCAAAGTCCAAAAAGTATTTAGAAAACCTTCAAATTTTGTAGAAATCCAAAAAAGAGTTGACCAACAGAAAGATAAATTTGAAGAATGAAAATGCCATAATCTAAAAAATAAAAACGCAACATCCTACGATAGCAAAAAAAAAATGATGAAGAGAAGAAAAATCACCAAAAAGCAAACCTTGTGCTTATACAAGGAGATTCTTCATGTGTCTCGCTTGAAAACAAAATTGAATTACGAAAAAAAAATGGCAGAACTTTCTTCGTAACCTTATTTATAGTCATAAAACCAATTGGGATTTCAATGGAAGAAAATTAGCGCAACTATAGCAACAAAGAATAGCATGTAATCGTTCAAACAAGTAAAAGACGAAGCTCTCGATGTAAAAAACTGAAGACTTCGTAGTAAGTGCTGCATGATTAAATGGTTACATAAAATGGAGAGATTCAACTGCATGGAGAAGTCACATGAGAAGCTTAAAATAGAAGAAAACAAAGCAAGTGTTTTACGGCAAAAGCCTGAAATAGAAGAACGCCACAAATTACATGGGATCAAAAGCAAGTAGCCAAAATAGAAAATCAATCACAATAGCGAAATAAGGATCCAAACATTTAGAAAGAGATCCAAAATATCTAGAATGCAATAACTAGTTCAAGAAAAAACAATCTACTTGGAAAAGAAAGGAATGGTCTGAGGACAAATGTATACACAGAGCTAAACTATTCAACTACATGATATAATCGAATAATAGAATGAAATAATCAAAGGTGTATGACTAAGTCATAACATAATTCAATCACAAGTGATATGGTCAAACTCAAAAGAGTTCATTAAAAGAAGGCCCTGGGAAGATAGCAAGGTTAAAAGGGCTCGGCCCCATTGGGGAATTAGTCAAAAGAGCATGGCCAAGTTAAAGTATTTTTATAATAGAATAAAATCCAAGGCATTTAAATATAGTTGTGGAAGTTCCCTGTCACACTTTTGCTTGCCGATATTATATTATTTCACACATCTGCAAATCATTGTTACCAATTGCTTCCCTATTCCACCATTGTTTTTGTACAACTATTCTAGCTTCTACTTATTGCTTTTATTCTCGTTACTATGTCCTTGCAATTCCCGCTGCATGTTATCGACACCACATCACCAACTAATTGCTAAAATTTAGCAACCCACAAGTTAATTTACACTGTCACTTGTACTAGAGTCTAGAACACTAATATTGTCCCTTTGTTCTGTGATCTTGAGATTTGTAAGGCCCTTATTTTACAGCTGTACCCTTCACATTTTAGTTGGGCCCTTATATTAAACATGGATTGGACAATTTTATAAAAAGATTTCTATTGTTGATACATATGAGAGATGAATTGAAACTTTAAGTAACTAAATAGACTTAAGATAAAATTTGTTTAGTTTCCTATCTAGAATCTTTTTTAGATACACATAGAGCCCCATAGTCATGTAAAATTCATTAGACATTAAGTGATGAAATAAAATTCCATTTTTCCTCTATACTCCTGTATAGTGCTAGTTGGATATGCATTTACCAATAGTTGCACAGACCATACAACTACTTACAGGGATATGCCTCCTTGTATTAAGGTGAGGCCTAGTTCTACCTCTAGATAATTTTAATATTTGTTTTTATTTTAATTAATTAAGTCATGAATTTGTGTGTGATTGGAAATTAATCAAGATATGTATTGGATTTTTTTCAAGCATGACCTTGATCATTGTTGAAATATAGTTCACCGCCATTTTCTTGTAGAAGTGTGAAGTTCTTTATTTGCAACATTTTTTAGGCCATAAATAGAACCCCAAAGTATGTGAAATTTAATAGACCTCTATTCTCATGTATATTCTGGTTGGAAATGCATTTTCAATAGTTGCGAAGGTGCATACAACTTAAGGGGCACGTCTCCATGTATCAGGCTGAGGCCCAGTTCAACATTTAGGTCATTTTTTAGTTGTTTTTATTGTAATTTGTCAAGTCATTATTTATATGTGTGATTGGAATTTTGGTAAGTAAGAAATGTATGTGAGCAGCGGATTTAAAATTGTGTTTATAAATTTCTTATCAAAATACTTAAAGCAAGAATGATTTGCATGCCTTTTATTCCTATCTCCCAATAAACCCCAAATATTCTGATTAAAGAATCGTTCAAATACAGTTTTTATTACCTCATTATCAAGTTAGAGTTGATTAATACAAAAATATGTAAAAAATGAATGGCAACCAAGGAGTTATCAGCTAGTTTAAGAGGAAAAGAAAATTGTTCATTTTGTGTGAGATAGTTTCTCTAGAAGGAAACGACTGAATACCTATTATAAATAACTGGACGATCCTTTTTCATTTAATTTAAATTTTGGGTATCATTTTAGCAAGCTTTATTTGGAAAGTCATCATAGAAGTTAAATGTCCAATAATACCAAGTATTGATCATTTTGTACTTACGTTTTTAACTAAAAGTATAAGAAATAAATTTCTCTCCAAACTAACGAGTAGCACAAATCTCATTATCATACATTTTATCAGGTTTAATATTTTTAGAATATTTGCCTCATGAATTTTCCCGTTGTTCAGCTGAACTAATATTCATCCATAGACTTCTTATTCATTGCCTTAAGAATTAGAAGTTTTCAAAAGCTTTATTCTTCTTTAAACTTGATTCAAATCTTCCCCCATTTGATCTAAAGTTTATAGATAAACTCAAATAAATATTTTTGCAAATTTTACAAAATTACATCATTGATACATTACAGAACATTGAAGCTAAATCTCACTTTTAATTGACATTATAACACAGCATAAAGCTTTCACACATGTAAATCTAATATGAGAGCAAAAAATCATGCAACAAGCATACAATATTCACGAGAAGTAAACTATTAATTTTAAACAACATACCCTCGATGAACATCAAATATACAGTGAAAATCAATTCAAACAGAAAAATAAATAAAAACCTTCTAAAAAAATGACAACTTGAAATTAAGGATTTAAAACAACCATGCAAACATTTTGTGAAAATTTGGATTATGTCAAATATGACTAAACACAGTCATAGGAATTGAGTGGTATGTATGTGAATCTTCCAAAAAAATAACAATTCCATAATGCATACGAGGTGTTCAAAATGCAGAACTTCCACATTAGCATAACAAATCATTTCTATGATTAGAAATTTTATACAAAAATTATATGGCTTACCATTTCAAAACCATAACTTCCATCGATCAGCAATAATACAAGGTCAGCAAACTTAGCAGTATCAATCATGCCATTAATATCATTTGGGCACTCCACAAATTGTAACCTCCTTTGCTTTCCTACAGAAGAAGTAAAAGTATTTATTATTTCATTCTCTTCCATTAGTGATTTCAATAACCACTAAGTACTTCAACATATGCTTGCCTATTTGACAAAAGAAAATAAGGCATCGGACCTTATTTACAGACCTGATACAACGGTTATTGGACCTCGAACCTCCAATAAGTTTTGTTTAGTAAAGTGCTTCACCAGACATTTTATCAAGAGAGACTTACCAACCTAAAAAGAAAAACTTCTCATATAAGAAAAGCTACAGCCATATTCATGCAGAAATCAATTGAATTTTTAACATATAACTTTGCAAGAATTAACCAAAGGGAGTACCTTCGGGGGTCCATGAACCACAACAACATATGGAGCCGGCTCCCCGATTGAATGATCAATAGTAGGAAAATGAAGTCTGCGTTGCTCTTTTTCTACTGCTCGAGACTGCAGCCGTTTGGCTTTAACAGATGAACTAAAAGCAAATGCCTAGAAAAAAAAGGGTAGTCGTTCAAAATATTTATAAGGAATTACACTATGAAACTCCGCCAATAATGATCAATTTAGGTTTTATCACAATTATCAGGTAATGAACATGCTAAGTCATTTAGATGGTTAGGATACAGCGACTTAGAAAACAAAATAGTTTAGCAACAAGGGTTCAATTTATAGAAGAAACCTTTGGATTCTGTTGTTTTCCATCACTAGAAGTCCCTTGTTTTTTCTTGGACGATGAATTCTTTGATGATGCACCAGACTGCGGTGCCCTGTGTGCTTTATGATGTTGCTCACCAGCAGCAGTTGCCATTTTACTGCAAAACTCTCTCCAAACAACAAAAAGTGTAAGAAAGTAGTGCAAAAAAAAGAATATGGATATGAACAAATTCCAAACTATGATAAAATCAGCTTAATCAAATAAAAAAAATGATCAATCCAAGAACTTCCACAAAACATTGTCTTAATCAAGTGAACACTTAGATCACTTCTACCAAGATGTTGGTATTATCTATCAAAGGTAAAAGTTTCTCTCAATGCTATCACTTCAAATGGTTCGGTTTTATTTAAATTGATAGAGTATAGTTTATTTTACAGTCCTCCATAACTGCGGTACCAGTTGCAATTATTTTGACTGTTTTTTTTTTTTTCAGACACCAAAAGACTGCCAATGGCAGTTGAAGCTAATACAAAGGTTTATATTGAAGGTAAAAGGATTGTATTAGATAAAGTATGTTCCGAAAAAGTTTGGACGCTTCACTATGGCATTTGCAAGAATCTCATGACCAACTCTTAAGCCAGCAGATGTCGGACGGCAGTTAAAGATAAATAACTAATTGTGTTGCCAAGCATATGAAATTGAATATTTCTCGCAAGTCTACTACCTCCATAAGGAAATAATAGCAAATAAAAATCAAAGAAATGAGTCTAAATATAGCAAGAAGGCGGAAAGGTAGGGAAAGGGTAGTGGGGAGGAAGAGAGAAAAGCTGCGGCAGCAAGTTTCAGCGTCTGAGTTTTTTATGCAATTTGACGTTTCTTGAATGGCTTAGAATATTTAATACAAATGATACCTCCTAAATAAAGAATTTTTATTGGAGGTGATTTAAATGGATATGTCAGTATTGTGGTTGAAGATTTTAGAAATATTCATGGTGGCTATGGTTTTTGAGTGATTAATGAACAAGATAGAGCTATATTAGATTTTGCTTTAGCGTACGAATTTGTTATTGCTAATACTTTATTCAAGAAAAGATATGAGAATATTATTACTTATAAGAATGGATCTAATAAAACACAAATTGATTATTTTCTTTTGAGAAGAAGAGACCGTCGAGAATATAAAGATTGTAAGGGCATTCCAAGTGAGGATTTGTGTAATCAAAATCGATTATTAGTTCAACATTTTAAGATAAAGAGTTGTAAAATAAATAATACTAGGAATCATCATCGTAGAATTAGATGAGGGCATTTAAAAGACACAAATAAATTTATTTTTATGAGTAAAATGCTCTTGAAGAAACCAATTTCATCAGGGATAAAGTAACAAACACTATTAAAAAAGTGGCAAAAGTTGTACTTGGAAAATCAAAAGAATAAGTTTATATAAATAAAAATATTTTGTGGTATAGTAATAATGTAAAAAAATATATAAAATATAATAAGTTATGTTATAAAAATTGGTTTAAATATAAAAGCTTAGAGAATTGAAAAAAATATCAAACGGTCGTAGGGAGTCAAAGAAAACAATCTTTGACGCTAAAAATTTTACTGTTAGCCATCCTTATAATAGATTACATACTAAGGAGGGTGAAATATGTATAAACTAGTCAAGCAAAGAGAAAAGAAAAGTAAAGATTTAACTCAAATAAAGTGTATTAAAAATGAAAATTAAAAAGTACTTTTCTTAAAAAAAGATATTCAAAATAGGTTGGTGAGTTATTTTGATAAACTTTTTAATGAAGTTTTGGATAATTCAACCGACTATAGTGATCTTAATATCGTTAATACTAATAAATTGTTTCATTTTTACTGCAGCATTAGTAAGAAATAAGTTGAGGAGGCTTTAAAGAAAATCAAGGGTGGAAAGTTTGTAGGACCGGATGATATCTCAATTGAAGTATGGAAATATTTTGGAGATTTGGGAGTTTCTTGGCTTACTAAACTCTTTAATATTATTTTAAAAATAAAAAAGATCTCTGAGAAGTGGAGGAAGAGTATTTTGGTCCCCATTTTTAAGAACAAATGGAATGCACAACAGTGTGTAAATTATAGATAAATTAAGTTGATGTGTCATACTTTAAAATTATGAGAGAGGGTAATTGAACATAGGTCAAAGATTTCTCATAATCAATTTGGATTTATATCGGGCAGGGCAACTATGGAAACTATACACTTACTGAGAGGTTTGATGGAGAAGTTCAGAGATAATAAGGAGGATCTACATATGATTTTTATTGAATTAGAAAAAGCTTACGATAAGGTTCCAAGAGATATTCTTTGGAGAGTCCTTGAGAAAAAAGGAGTTGATATGACTTATATTCAAGTCATTAAAGATATGTATACAAGAGTTGTTACTTATGTTCAAACAGAATGAGGATTGACCAAATATTTTTCTATTTATGTTGATTTACATCAGGGATCGACTTTAAGCTCATATCTTTTTGCTTTAGTTATGAATGGTCTTACTGAACACTTACAGGAGGATGTACCATCGTGTATGCTTTCTGTTGATGATATCCTTCTCGTGGATAAGACGAGAGAAAAAACTCAGGAAAACTTCAATTATGGAAGTCCGCCTTGGGGTCTAAAGGTTTTCGTTTGAGTATAACAAAAAATGAATACATATAATGTAATTTTAGTAGTAGTAGCTCTACTGAGAAATCTAACTATGGGTGATCAAATTATTAAAAGGCGAGAACGCTTTAGATATCTCGAGTCTATTGTTCAAAGTGATGGTGATATTGATGGGAATGTTATTAGTAGAGTTCAAGTTGGTTGGTTGAAGTGGAGGAATGCTTCGAGCCTATTGTGTGACAGAAAAGTACCGCTTAGACTGAAAAAGAAAATTTTATAAGAAAGTGGTGAGACTTGCAATGCTCTATGGCGTTGAATGTTGGCATTTAAAAGAGAAGCATAAAACTAAGTTAAGTATTGTCGAGATGAGAATGCTTAAGTGGATGAGTGGATTTACACTTAGAGACAAATTGGGGCAGCTTATTTGGTGTTGTATGTGATAGGGTTGGCGTAGCTCCAGGGACGGACAAAATTAGAGAGAGTCATCTTAGATGGTTTGATCATATTAAATGTTGACAATCTGATGATCCGACTATAAGAGTAGATGTTTTAGATTAGACTTACGTTAAGAAAGTCAAAGGTAGACCTAGGATGACTTTGGCATATTTTATAACAAAATGATCTTATTTATTAGACTTAAATGAAAATACGACACTAAATAGGACGCAATGGAAAAAAATGATTCACGTAGCTAGCCACACTTAGTGGGATAAAGGTTTTGTTGTTATTGTTGTTGTTGTTGTTGACGTTTATGAGGTCACAAGTAGAAAACGGAAGAATAAAATAATGACAGGCGAAGACAAGATTCCGGTAAACATGGAACCAACTTAATCTAGAAAAACTTTAAACCCTAGGCATGCCCTGTGCAAAAACAATAGCTAATTTAAAAAATTCGAGCCACAATTGCAATTATAATAAATTAAAGATTTATACATTACCTTAAAAATTCGTTAGAAGAACGACATGGAGAACACAAGTTGAAGGAAAGACCTCAGTCCGGCGTGTGGCTGCACTTACGAGCAGTTTGGTAGCTGGATTTGAGCAGGATTTTAAGCCTGAAAAACAGCAAAAATGACAGATCAAACAGTTTCGTAAACCTATGTTCCCTCCGTTTTGCCTTAAATCCCGTTGGAAGAGGGATTTGAAGGGTTTAAAAAAGCTCCCGCGAAAGCGGCTCGGAGGAAGGGGGAGGAAGTTACCTTCCTCAATAGCTTCGGGTAGGAGGGGAGCGAAAGAGGAGAAAGATGGGAGTTCCGGAGGTTTCCGTACACGGCGATCCCGTCGGACACGAGAGCATGGTTTTGGGCGAACGGGCAGAGCGGGGAGGTACGCAGGCGAGGGTTGGAGCACGAGAGGCAGATGGGATTAAGGATTTATGGCTTTAATTTAATTATATTTAACTTATTTCACATTAATTTAATTAATTGTTATTGGAAAAATTAAGGTATATTTATTAAATTTTAATTACATGTTGAAGTTTAATTAGTTTGCTAAAATTTTAATGTTTTATAATTTCTTTAATAAATAATGAATTAATTAATGTTAAATTATTATTTAGCTTGATTGTTTTAATTAGTTTTTTCTTCTTGTAGAATTATTTTTAAAAATATTTAGTTATTAACTAACATACCTATAAATAAAAAAAATTGAAATTACTTTTAATTATATTTAATAATTATATTATTAATGTCCAATATTAAACTCTTACTTTAATATTTTAATTTCAAAATAAGCTATCAAATAATTCCACAAAATTTAACTGTGTTTAACTTCTGCCATTTAAGATTAATTTTAAGATTTAAATACCTCAATATTTATTAAATTTTTAAATTAAAAGCAAGTGTCATAAAGATATGTTGAATCTTGTTTCTCCCTCCATTTTAAGATTTAACGCAATTTACAAAATTTTAATGGTAGTAGAGTTTATGTGATTCAAAAGCTTTCATGTGTTCTTCTTTGCCACCTCTCTCATGAACTCTTTTGCACATCGTTGGTTTGTCGGAGTATTTCCCCAACTAGCTCTTGTTACAACATCTCCACTAGGCTCCAAGAATTTATGCAGAATCTGAAAATATGTAGGAGACAAAAGAGACGGGAGCAAGGTTTCAGGATTTAGTTGCGGGAGTCCGCATGCAACTCCTTGTACAACAGTATTTTACACAGTTGTACAATAGTGTACAAAACTGTTATATAAGGAATTTGTATGTCAGATTCCGTACATAATATTCTCTCATGTGAGACGGTATCCTGATAGCTAACATTTTTTTATTAGCTTGGATAAATTTCAATTACCAATAAGCTTCCTTTTTTTCGAAGGGTTGCAAGGGGTTTATTTATTTGCATATCGAACATCTAAGCATTATATTTACATACAAGTCACTCAAATCCTTAATATTGCATCAAAAATATATGTTACTATTTTTTTTTAATGAAATACATATTTTAATGCATATTTTCTATATTTTCGATATTTTTAGTTGAGCTTTTTGGAGTCATCGGCTTATCTTATCGTCGTCGTATAATTATTTTTCTCAAATATGTCTCTTTAGAGAAGAACTGATAATAAAGAGAATACGACGAAAATAAACAAACAATTTAAAAAGAATGTGGAAAACTTTCATAAGATAACATTCACGCGATAACATGAGAGCGTACGTATGACACGAGATCGGATCGAAAATGTTTTAGGGAGCATACCGCGAAGAGAACCCAATAAAAGCAACCCATAACTAACCAGAGAATCAAGTTTTGTACTTGTTATAGGTCAATAGTAGCTCCCAGGGAAATGCACTTTTTTTGTTAATTACCTCTTGGGAGATGCATAAGAATACCCTCGAAATGAGGAGTTTTGCTTGCATAATTTTTTATCCACTTATTCGAGAAACCAAAGGATTTTAATTGTCTTAAGCCGGAGAATCCCAATGCCTTTGATGTCTATACCAGATCATGGGTTAGAGGGCAAATCACCATAACCAGTACAAGGGCGACGCTTAAGCATGCGGTGTCAATTTAAAATTTTATATTGAATATTTTATTATTAGGATTTTTGAAAAGATATATTTTTTATACTCAGTGAATCAATGTTTCATTTTTTGTAAGATTAACAGACAAACCGACAAGCAAAAAATGCTAAAAGAAAAGTACAATGAATAAAAGTAAAAGCACGCAAAACAAAAGAATAATAGGTCGGTGTCGCTCGGTCGGCAACATATCCTGAGAAAGTAGTAAAAGTGGTCGTGTTTTGCACTTTGCATAGTCCAGTCATAGTTCTATATATGAATATAAATTCAATTTTGCATAGACATGTCCAGTCATAGTTCTATATATGAATATAAATTCAAAATTAAGGAACGGGACAAGAGCTTCTGCTTCTACTCCCTGTCACGTGGTTCGATGTGTCGTGTGCCTCGAAATTCATGCACGTACCTTACTTCTGATATAAACTCAATCCTAGACACTTTTATCAAATACATGATAAAATAAAATAAAAAGACTCAGCTTATAGAAAAGTTAGCACGGGATATATTCATGCAGCACATATGAGCCATGCCTGATGGGAGGAACTTTTAGCAGCACTTTGCAGAAAATGCTAGCTTTCAAATCATTACCTGCTCTTCCTTTTTTTATGTGTGTATGTTTAGACATGAATCCCTGCAAGAAGACCGCTTATGATATACTATTGCACATGTCTCAAACTCAATAAACACATAAAAATATCTCACAAAAAGATATATGTCCAGGGCAACTAATCCAGTAGATAACGATAACCAAACATAAAAGATACTACATATCATCCTAGGCTCCTAGCCCTAGCTTAATACACCATCTAACAAAAGTGTCACAAACAACATCAAAGTTCATGTGCAGTGCAAGGGAAAAGGCCACTTGTATGACTTTAACAGAGTCTTCAACACCGGCTCTGTCCTAAAGATCCAAGGGATCTAATATTTGACACCCAAAAGGGATTCTTAAATTATTTGGCCTCACATATGACTTAGCTTACTAATTGCATAATTTTAAAGATATAACAAGTTATTAAATGCAAACCCGAACATGCAAGGAGACATGTTAGATTCCTTAAAACTTTAGCACAGTCATACTTGTGTTGATCTCGATGCAATAACTTGCATTGCTCGCCTAGATTTACCAAGCAAGCAATGCTCGTTAAAACATTGCAATCAACACACGTGTCACTCATCTAGCGAATCTAATTTGCTATAAAGACAAACAAGGTGATGCTTATGCAACATGATACAATCAAGTGGTATTACATCGTGCACTCAATGAGTTCAGGGTACTTCAAAGTGTAACGCGAATTGAGCTCACAATTTGTATTGCTTGTGGCATTCAAGGGGGATGCCATAGAGATGAGGTGGCATGCTCTCTATTTAGGAGGTTCAAACACCAGTGGGCTAGCATTGGTAGCCACCACTCTATTGACCCTATTTTTTAGGTCTTACTTTCTCTCTCCCCAAAGCCTAGGATCTAGCTCTTAAAATATTCATATTTTGACTCTCCTAGAGGACTATACTAAGATCCGCGATATTTAGAAATTCATGTTATTTTTCCACTCCCTATATTTTCATATGAATGATTTTAAATTTTGAACATCCAATTGAGTTGATTAAAGTCAACATATCAAAGCTCATGTTGAGTTCTCATAGGAGCTAGAAAGCGATAAGGCGACCCCACGATGTATGACGCTTGACTTGTTGCTGAGAGTGGTCTACTTGAGTTTGGTTGTCGCTTAGGCGAGTACCGGTCAACATTTTGCTCGTTGAATGGTTCTGATCTGACCAAATAACTTCATTTATCGCGACAAACGCAAATTAGAGTTAAATTAATACGATTGTCGACGGACTTGCCTGAAAAACCACATATGATAAAATGGACTGCACAAGCACATCCTAAATATTGATTTTGTCATAAAAGGGCCGAATTTTTCTCTCAGGTCCCCGTAGGGTGCGCTACGTCCGCTATCCAAGCAAAAGACGACATCTAGTCTTGCGGGACCCATATTTACACGTCATGATAAAGAAAAAATTTTGCCTTTAGCCCGGCCCAACTCGACTTCCTAAATGTTACGTATTATCCCACCTTTTTGGCTTATTCACGCTTATTTTTGTCATATATTCCCTCAGAAACTTCTATTCTGCATTATTCAGCAGAAAATAAGTTTTCAAAATGGGTTTTTTTGTCTCAGCTAGGGTTTGGTCGCTGCATTTATGATGGAGTTAGATTTCTCTCTTAATGAAGAGTTTGAGCACATGGATGACGAAATGAATGTCAACGTCTTTGAAACGGAGGTAAAATTTCTTGCTTACTTCAACCGTTTTCCGTTTTTCCGAGAGTAGCCCAACAATAACATAGGAATAACATACGCATAAACCCACCAGATCTCTAAAAATATTAAGATTTTGTGTGAATCTTCGATTGTCGTTAAGTTATTTCATCATTATTATGTGTTTAGGGTTATTTATTTTTGGGTTGATTGAAGAAAAAATCAATAACCCGAGAATAACCCAACAATAACCTAAGAATAACCTGCGCATAAACCCACCAGATCTATAAAAAGGGAGATTTTGTGTGAATCTTTGATTTTCGTTAGGTTATTTCATCATTATTCTGTATTTAGGGTTATTTATTTTCGGGTTGATTGAAGAAATAATCAATAACCCGAGAATAATCCAACAATAATCTAAGAATAACCTGCGCATAAACCCACCAGATCTATAAAAAAAGTGAGATTTTGTGTGAATCTTCGATTGTCGTTAGGTTATTTCATCATTATTTTGTGTTTAAGGTTATTTATTTTCGGGTTGATTGAAGAAAAACTCAATAACCCGAGAATAACCCAACAATAACCTAAGAATAACCAGCGCATAAATCCACCAGATCTATAAAAAAAGTGAGATTTTGTGTGAATCTTCGATTGTCGTTAGGTTATTTCATCATTATTCTATGTTCAGGGTTATTTAATTTTGGGTTGATTGAAGAAAAACTCAATAACCCGAGAATAACCCAACAATAACCTGCACATAAACCCACCAGATCTATAAGAAAAAGTGAGATTTTGTGTGAATCTTCGATTGTCGTTAGGTTATTTCATCATTATTCTATGTTTAGGGTTATTTATTTTCGGGTTGATTGAAGAAATAATCAATAACCCGAGAATAACCCAACAATAACCTAAGCATAAACCCACCAGATCTATAAGAAAAAGTGAGATTTTGTGTGAATCTTTGATTGTCGTTAGGTTATTTCATCATTATTTTGTGTTCAGGTTTATTTATTTTCGGGTTGATTGAAGAAAAACTCAATAACCCGAGAATAACCTGTGGTTAGAGTTATTTA